CCGGCAATGAGGCTACGCTCCAGGAGCTTCGTGATCCGGCGCGCCGGCCGCAAGAAGCCTACGAACCCATCCCTGATGACATTCTTGCTTTCCGCCCGCCCGATGTTGAGCCTTGCGGGCCCCCGGCCAGAGGAGCCGTGCCCCCTGCCATTGCTTCCGCCCTTGGCCTTGGTCGGCTCGTTGCTCTCACCAAGCCTTCAGCAGGGCGGGTCAGGGGCATTGTTGTCAGTGACTTCCTTCACCGCCTCGTCGCACGAAGCCTGGCGCGGCAGTATGCCGCGCCCATCCAGGAAGCGTGCAGCCCGCATCAATTTACTCTGTCTACTCGCTCTGGCACCGACTCGGTTGTGCACGCCCTTTCTGTTGCAACCGAGCTTGACCCCACTGCCACCATCGTCTCCGTTGATGGGGTAGGAGCCTTTGACACGATCTCTCGCACTGCCATGTTGCGTGGCTTGCAGCCTGTCCCTGGCGCCAATGTTTGCCTGCCTTTCGTGCGTCTCTTCTACACCACCCGGTCGGAGTTTGTGTGGCATGACGCTTTTGTTGGCGTCCCCCATGCGGTTCTTGGTGCGCCATTCGGTTCCCCCGCGTTTGTTGCTGCTCAGTTGCAGCGCCTGTCCGCCAGCCACGCCGGCCTGCTCCAGCGCATCCGTGGCCTTGAGGATTTGCAGGCTTCGTGGCTGCTGTTGCTGTTCTGCGCGTGCCCTCGGTGCAACCATGTGCTTCGGTTGCTCCAGCCTGGCCTCACTGCGGCTTTTGCTGTTGCTCATGACGCAGCCTTGCTGGACTGTTTGTCGGACTTGTTGCAGTGCGGCCCTTTGCCAGCTCTCCCCGCTCGTGTCGCGCAGCTTCCTTTGCGCCTGGGGGGTCTCGGCCTGCGTTCTGCTGTTAGATAGTTTGCCCGTTATCATCCGTTATCCAACGCCAGCTCCGTAGCCCTTCCCCACCTCGAAGCTGGCGTCAGCCCCGCCTTGTGCTTGCAGGCTGCTGCTGCGGCCGTCGCCGGCTTGTCCTCTCCCTCCTGGCGTCCCCCCACTTGGCGTGAGGTTTTGGCCGGGGCCGAGCCTGCTCCTTTGCTTGAGGACTCCGATCGCCTTGCTTGGAGATCCCGCCCGTGGGTGGCAGCGTCAAGCCACCGCTGTTGTTGAGGACAGCTTGTCCGCACAGCTGCACACCCAGCTTGACCGCTCTTCCAGTTGCTTGCTTGTGTCGCAGCAGGCCCGTTTGCTGGTCGGCTGTTCACTGTCCTTCCGGTCTCGCCTCAGTTGTCGGTCCCTTCGCACTTGTTCCGTACGCTCGCCCTTCGGCGGCTCCGACTCCCCCTTCCCATCTCCGATCGCGCTTGCTGGTGCCGTCGCCGCCTCGACCCCTTTGGCGACCACCGCGCAGCGTGCGCCCGGGCTGGGTTGTTGCAGAGCCGCGGTTGCCCTCTCGAGCGAGCGGCCGCTCGGGTCTGCCGCGAGGCGGGCGCTCGAGACACCGTCAACTCACGCCTTGCGGACATGAACCTCCCGGTCGACCGCCTCGATGACCGGCGCCTTGAGGTTGCCGCCAACGGGCCCCCCTTTGGAATGGAGCTCAGGTAGCGGTCGATACCACGTTGGTCTCGCCTCTTTCCTCTTCCGGCGAGCCCTGCAGACATGCTGGCCGCGTTGCGCGAAGCCCGGCGCCGGAAGGAGCGCACCTACCCGGAGCTGCTGCGATCCCAGCGGTGCCGCTCGCTCCACCCCGGCCCTCCTTCAGCCTTCAGTCGTCTCCGCTTTCGTTGCCCGTTGGTCCGCCTTGCTCGCGTCTGCCGCCCACCAGGCTTTCGCGGAGTCCCTCCTCCTTGGCTCTGTCTTGCCTGGCCAGTCCAACTGTGACGGCGACGCTCCGCCACTCAGTGACACCGTGAGTGCCCCTGGTGCCTGGGGGAATCCCTGATGCCCTCCACCTCCTGATCCCCTCAGGATTTCAAGCTCTTCCTCCGCCTGCGACAGCTCTTTGGAGGTAGTCCATGACGATAGCTTGTGCCGCACCTCCTTCCTCACGTAGATGTAGAGAGGTGTTTCTCCACACTCCAATCCAGCGGCCACGACGACCTCCAGATTGATGTCTCCGATCCACCTGCAGAAGTCCTAGAGCGGGTTCTCCTCGCCCGTCACCGCCATCTGCATCTTTGAGGTTGGGAACTCCCGGGCTCGGTGCTTTGCTCCTCCATGGTTTACCAGGGTTCGGGTCAATGGTGAGCTCGTACATGGCCCGATTAGCGAGCGGTTCTGGCAGGATCGCCCCCCGCGCATGTCGCTGTCTGAACCACCCACCCCCACATCATAGTTGGGCTGGGTCCTAGCAATCGCACTTCCTTTAAAGGGGCCGCCAAACCGCCACTCTTGTGCCAGCGCTTTGTCTTAACCATCACCTGCGCGTAGTAGGGCAGCATCGGTGTCGGAGTGATCCCCAAGTTCTTGAGCTGGTCCTGCATACGTTCCAACGCCACATGTCTTATTGCCGTCGGCCACAAGCGAATAGGCGCCCCGGATGCCTTGAGAGTCACCTGTAGTCCTCTTTTCAGCTGGCAGATCTCGCCTTCTACCCGTCCGCCGTCCGTTTGCAGCGTGGTCATCCCCACTCGTGAGCGTGAGGATCATGTTGCGTTCAGCACACCACTGACGGACTGGCTTCGCGAGGAACTCTTGGCTCTATCGCAGTGCATGCGGTAGAGGGGGATGCCCATGCTCCTATATCTTGAGAACAGGAGCCCAAGAGCTAGTAGCACGTCCTTGGTCTTGCGAGATTCCAGGACTTCCACCGCTGTGACATTCTGTAGGGCGTCCCTCATCTCATCCCGCACCTTGGCATTGACCGCTTCCGCTACCGCGTCCTATAGGCTCATGCTCGCATTCCAGGCCCTCCAGGCTATCATCCTCGGCAGCATGGTCTTCAGGATCCGCGGAATCATCTGGCCCTTCTCAAGGCTCACGCTCACCCGGTAGTTCCCCTTCTTTGCCCTCTGCTTCTCCGGGCTCCGGCCGTAGCCACCCAAGCGTACTTCACCTTCTTGCCAGTGCACACGTCGTTTCCTGCCGCAAAGGGGCCCGTGATGGGAGAGCAGCTGCTCGGATCGCGAAGCCCACACCCTCCTACGGGATCTCAACATCCCGGCTGGAGGCCTCGATGACAGACGCAACTACAGACGCATTGAGGCGATCGTCAATGGACTTCGACAACACCCTTGTGTCAGCGTTGGACTCAGCTGGCCGGGCACGTGTCTATCACCGCCGTGTTGAACTCGGCGCGCAAAAGAGCGAACCTACCATGAGCGTGCTCGCCCTTGACGTTGGGGGGCGGTGGAGCCCGGAGGCCGCCCAGTTCGTCCGCCTCCTTGCCCGCGCTTCGCAGCCGCCAGGGCCTTTGCGGCCAGCCTCCTCTTCTTGCCGGGCGCCGGAGCCCACAATCTTGACGCCGACTGCCGCTTCGTTGAGGCGCAGGCGCATAGCCGCTTGCCAGTGCCCGGACGCTGACCGGCTGATCAACAGCGTGCTAAGTCCCCTGGTGCCCGGGGCAAAAACACCCTTAAGCAGTTTTCTTTCGGGGGGGAAGCCGTGAGCAGACAGAAAAAGGCGCGATCCAAAAAAACAAACTCGCGAAGTGAGAGGCCAACGGCAGTAGTTCTTGCCTCCTGCGCATTCGCGCAGCTGCAACGACCAGTGCTCGGATTGCCGCGCGTAGAAGGCACACCTGCAGCGTCAAGCGGAAAACTGGTCGTTGTCACAATCAAGCAGTTACAGTGCGTTTCCTACCTGTGAAGCATTTTCGGGGCAGCTGAGCCTGCGGCTCTAGGCACCGCCTAGTTTTGTTGCAAATCCTGAATTTCGTGCCGTTAAGAAGTGGACCAGCACAGGGACAGGAATTGGAAGCAAGAATTTGCCATTGGTCTGACCATTTGTTGTTTTTGCGCAAAATTGCGCCCCACAAATGCCGCAAAATCGAGCGCAAAAACCCGCAAAACGGACGCAAACACCCGCAAACGGATGCAAATCTCAAAAAGTGGTCAAATCTAGAATTGCAGGATCACACAAAACTAGCTCTGTTGCCTCATCAGCTGGCGAACCCCAGGGTTTCAATCCAGAAGTATTGTCCGGGTAGGGCAAACAGATCATCACCCGCATGGCAAGCCAGTTGCGGGCCGCCCATGCAAAACAACAGCCTGCAAGGATAGCCACGACCCTTTTCCATAGAATCGGTCATTTTTCCAACTCGGCCCAACCGGCCCATATTTTCTCAGTCGGCCAGTAAAAAGTGTGATAAACCACATCGAGCAAAAATAAGTGTTCAATTGAAGGTGCAGGCAGGGTGTTAAAAGGCACCCATGCGCGGGGCTGTCGTGGGGACACTTACACGCCCCTTGCGCCTGGCGCCCGCAGCCGACGGCGACAGCGCTTGCTGGAGAGTCCCCCGGTGTAGGGCTGGCGCTGCCAGGCTTTTGGGTGGCTCTTCGAGAGAAAAACAAGTCTACTGAGCCGTCTGGCTGCGCAAAGTTCATCAGCTGCGCACACATTCTTCCGCATACGTTTTTGGATTTCTCTGGTACTGGCTTCAGCAAACAGTGTTTGCAGTTTCTCGCTTTGGTTCCGCCTGTGTTTTCAAGGCTTGCGCCGGATTCAACGCTTTCATGAAGGGCGCCCGTGTGCGCGTGCTCTCTTAGCAAAACGGGCTGACCCGTGCGCCTGCAATGTTGCAATGTTCAGTCCTAACCGAGGCATTCAAATCATTGAAGCTTTTGTTGGTCAACCAGGACGGTTAAGCACCAGCATCCCCAAATCCGCCAGTTGGACATTGCCTTCACCTTGCGTACTTTGTTCCCCCATGTTCGTTGACTGGTTTGCGAGGGGGTCGATTTCACTCTCGGACATGTTTAATGTCCAGCTGGGGGGCGCTGACTTGTGTCTGGCTTTGGGCACATGTTGCCTCTTTTTTCCAGGGAAACGGAGGACCTTGCATGCCATTTGGCTCCCAGAGGGATGAGAATGGATAGGTTTCGCCCTACGGGAGCCCAGCTGAGCTGGACCATCCCAACATGTTCAAAGGAGCGGCGAGGGGACGGCGTCAAGCCGGCGGGCCTTGGTTCTTTTGTTTGAGGCTGCCATAGGGTACACCGCACCTTTATGGGTTGAAAATGGAAAAAGGACGGAAGCCACCAACTTGCTGGGCTATTTTTGAGCACCAAGATTTGCAAATTGTCTTGACACGTTCAGTTTTGGGGTGTGCTAAACCCTTGCCATCCCTTACCCATGTCAACCCTTGCCTTAAATGGGAGCGATTTCCCTTGTAGTGGGTGTCTCACTACGGGCTTCAGTTTAGAGACCCAGGTGAACAACAGAGGGAAATCCTCAATATATTTTGTTTATTCAAATCCTTCACCTGTTTCGCAGTTCGAGTTTCGACCCCAGGAGCAAAGAAACCTACCGTGGCCGACATGTGTGGTCCGCCCACCTTGCGCAGCACGCTGGTGACCGGCACCTCTGGGCATGCCGCTGACTTAGGAAAAGCCTTCCGATGGGACGCAGAACCGGCAAGTTGCGTTGAAGATGTGTGTTCGGGTGACTCAAACTTGGGCCCCTAAGGACCGTGCATTTTGGCGTGCTCTCGAATTTACATTTCGGCACGGCTTTCATTCAAACCGCATATCAGATTTTCCATTTGCTTAAGGTTTTAAAGGGAATCCATCACTACTGGAAATTATTTGGCTCTGGCATTAATGGAAGGATGGCATTTTTCAGGATGTCATACGAATGAAGAGCGGGTTGGTAGCAACCCAAATTTGGACTGCAAGATCCAGTTCTACCTCGGCCTTCACCCCACCCCACAACCCAAAACCATGTAGCTTGATGTTGGTCCAGTAGCGACGCTTAAGATGCACATTCCTTTCAATCGAAAGACAACTAACTGAGTCCCGAACAATGAGCAGCAGGCTGACGTTGCAGCAATCGGGTCCGAACACGACCCCATGAATTTGCAAAGCCGATAGGGGAAGGTTGTGCGCATGTCGCAGACAGGCTGATGCGGACTATGAAGATTCGGAGCTCCTGGGGCAAGGGGCCTATGGCATGGTGCACAAAGTGCAGGACAAGGCCGTTCCGTTGCCTTTCGCTGCCGCAAAGAGAGGTTCCAGGAAGGCTCCATGTTTGGGCGGGTATAGTGGTTTTATCAGTTTAGCCCGCTTTGAACCAGCAGCTTAACTCTTTGCACGAGTAGGGAACAAGAAGTGGTGCAAAAGATGATTGTTGCCCTTCCCCGCATCGTTGCCGGCGGTCCTTTTAGACAGAGTGGTTGCCACCGGGTTGTTTCAAGTCTCCGGTTGCCCCGTTTGGGCGGAGGAACGCCTTGCGCGTTTCGCGTCGGCAGGCCACCGGGCAAAGCAAAGTTCTCAAGTCGGTGGTCCGACCGGACGGCTGGGATGACGAGCGCCTGAAAATGGAGGCCAGGACGGCAACTCGGAGCTAGCGGCCGTGGTTACGACAACCAGGGAATCCCCTTGTGGTTTTGGGGCAATCTTTTGCGGCGAGAACTAGGGAATTGTTCATGGGCAGGAATCCACTTTGTGTTTGCAAGCAGGGAACCCCCCTTTGAAGTGATACAGAAAGTGATGCTTCCCACAATGAAGCACGGGTGTTATCGAAGGACTTTTGTTCAAGGATGTGGTTTTGGGGAAGCCACGGTTTAGCGAGGAGGGAACCTCCCAATGAATGCTTTGTTTTCGTTCATTAGTCAGAGTTAGCGTTTCTGTGGACGCCCCGTGCAGGCCAAAATCCTGCAGAATCTCGACCATCCGCACATTCTTCGAATTTTCTCCTGGTACGAGGACGGGGACTCTATCAACATCGCAGCGGCCCTGGGAGCGAAACAGGGAGGCTGTCGTCGGTGTTCACAAAGATGCCTTTGGGACGCTTTTGGCCCCGTTCTCACAGAAGAAGCAAAAGGATGCGTTATTGCCCAAACTCGGGACAGTTCCTTCAAACTTCCTCACGCCCAGCTTCTTGAACCGGCTTGGCGCGTGTCCGTGTAAGGTGATGGAACATTGCGATGGCGGAGAACTTCTGAAGGCGCTGGACCGCCACTGCCTTCGCCGTCCACGCACTGTCTGACTGCCGAGTGAGCGGCTGCCGACAAGTGTCAAGCGCTTGATTTTCTTGCCAGGCCGTGCGGGATGGGAGGCGAGCGGGGGAGGCATTGCCGGAACGCTGGGCAGCTGGGCCCTCAGATGTTGTCCACTTGCGGCCATAATGACATACCAGGGCTTTGCTCATCCGCGGTTCCCACATGCGGGTAGAACCCAAGTCTTCAAGTCAATGGGCGTTTGGTCTCCCAGAGTTGCCCAATTCCCACGCCCCCCGCGTTTGCAGACAATGTTTGGTCCCCCTTCTCAGTCGAGTTTGAGATTATGCCCTATAAGGTTGACCTTTCGTTGCGTTGTATTTTGGACGATTGGCCGGTTGAATCCCACAAGTTAGGAACAGTTGAACACACCTGTCGCATACCGGTGTTTAGTCAGGCTGGCTGGCTGGCTGGTTGGTTGGTTGGTAGGTAGGCTTGCAGGCCTAAGTCTGGCCAGGTGCCAATTCGATTCATCTGTTGCCATCTCGAGGCGGCAAGCATACGACAAAGTTTCCAAGCTTTAGCGAAGAGCTCAGCTATCGACAGCAGGTTTCTTGGGGGCAATCGCTGTCTCATTTGAACACAACACGTGCAAATTCCTTCTGCCAGATAGGGGGGTCCCTTGTTTTATTGGAGTTTTATGGGGGTTGCGGATTCGGGAACCCCACTACAATCCAGTCAAGCACACATTGGCGTGATTCCCGAGGTATATATACATTCCAAAGGCGTGGTGCACAAGGACTTGAAGGGTCAGAACCTCTTACTGTTGCACAACACGTGCCAACCTCAGCGTTTTGGGTCAGAGGTTCATGGGCAGAATGAGGGGGGGGACTCGCAAAAGTTGAGCCACTGAGCCACATATCCAGGCTGACTTGTGTGGTTTTGGCCCTTTGGTCGCCAACAACGGCAGGACTGTTTTGGCCAATCGTGAGATGCTTCATTTGAGGCGTCAGTTGCATTTGAGGCGGGTGGACGGCAAAGTTTTTGAGCGCCTCCCTCACGTGGTGATTTGCGACCTGGGCATCGCGGAGATTTGCTGCCGGGGGATCTTCGGCCAGAGGCTGAGCGGCGCTCGCGCAAGATAGACCCATGGGCTTGACCAAGCTGTCGAGAAAAAGCGTGAACTCAGTTTGTTCAAACCCACCTGCAACCTTTTCATTTTTACCGTCCAGCTCAGGAGGCAAGGTTCCAATCATGGAGTTGGCATGCATCATATTCGGGTAAACTTTGGTTTTTTCAGGGCCTCATGGGCTTGAATCAAACGGTTTCCATGGAGCCCCGGGGATTGGAGGCTCGCTTGGCCGACAGCGAGATGAGTTCACAGCAAATGATTTGGCCGTAACGCGGGTAGGGGAGACAGGCACCGGAAGTCTTTGGGTTCTGGGTCCAGGCTACTTGACTCAAAGCCATCCTGCAGCTCAGTTCCACCCATGTTGCATCACTTTTGTTTTCTTTTGTTCAACTCCACAAAGGATCTCCCCTTTTTCCACCGGGGTCGGGCAAGGATGCAGCAAACGGGTGCTTCATCATTTTTTGCTTGCCACCGTCTGCAAGGTTTGGAGCCTTTTGTTCACTTCGGATTCTGCTCCTAGGTGATGTTGACGAGGTGAGTGGTCCTTCACCTGTGGCACCGTGGGTGACACCCCAACCGAGGCCTCCGTGGTAGCAAGGTCGCCGGCACACCTGCCACTATGGCGCCTGAGGCGCGCGCAACATCGCGCAAGCTGCCCGCGATTTCGGCGCGCGAAATGGGTGGGTGGGGGGTCCCTACTTCGTTTCCTGTAGGGTTCCTTGAGAAGTGTTGGGGCCCCACAAAAGGCTTCCGATCAACAGCAGTTTTTGTGTTTTGTTTTTTTTTGCCTGGTTGCAGGTATGTACTCGGCCTCCCGAATGTTCCACGCATTGCCTATGGATGTTACCCACATCTTCCTATGCCCATGTCCCCCCTGCCAGGTTTGGTCAGGCAGCTGCGGCCCAAAGAGCCACCTGGCAGACGATTTTTGCCTTGAACATGTTTTTTGGCGCAGACACAGGAAATCCCTTAGGACAACCTTCTTTTAGGAGAGGCAGTTCTAGCGGTTCCTAAGGTTCCTCTAGTGGTTTTTCCCTTGTTTAGTGGTTGGGTTCCCGAATCCAACCCACAAGTGAAATTCACTTTTACCAGATCAGGTTGGATTTACAAGCCTTGGCCTCAAGGCTAACGTTTGGGGGTCATTGGGATTTGGGCCTCCGTGGGCCCAGGGGGGGAGTTGGTGGGGCTTGATGGTGGTTGAGAGAGAGAGAGAGAGAGAGAGAGAGAGAGAGAGAGAGAGAGAGAGCGAGAGACAGGGCGAGCGCAGGACAGGACAGCAATGGCCAGAACAGGACAAACAAACAAACCAGCGAGATGCAACACAATGCAAAACAACGCAATGCAAAGCAAAACATTGCAACAATCACATCCACACAGCTCTCTCTCCCTATCTCTCTGTCTCTCTGTCTCCCTGTCTGTCTGTTGGGCTGTCTGTCTGTCTGTCTGTCTGTCTGTCTGTCTGTCTGTCTGTCTGTCTGTCTGTCTGTCTGTCTGTCTGTCTGTCTGTCTGTCTGTCTGTCTGTCTTTAATTGTTTGCTTGTTCGTTTGTTTGCTGGTTCTGTTCTGTTCTGTTCTGTTCTGTTCTGTTCTCTCTCCTCCTGTCCTGTCTGTCTCACTGTCTGACTGTCTGTTTGTGTGTCTGCTTGTCTGCTTGCTCAAGCTCAAGCTCAAGCTCAAGCTCAAGCTCAAGCTCTTGCTTGCTTGTTTTGTTTGTTGTTGTGTTTTTTCTTTATCTGTCTGTGTCTTAGTTGCCCTTCCGTTCTGGGAGAGAAGGATCTGACATTGGAGGTTAAAGGCTGGTGCCTGAACAACATGTCGCTTCTGCGGTGGAAGCTCAGCGTCTCTGTGTGTTAATCCGTTCTTGTTCGTTTAGAGATGGGTAGGTTATTTCCGGGTAACCAGCAGGAAACCGCAAATTGCGGGGGTCTTCGGAAAAAAAAAAGAAGGAAAAGCAAACCCTCCTCTTTCAGACCCGAGAAGTGGTTGTGACGACCAAGATGGACGCCTTCCCCTTGCGCTCAGCATGGATTTTCAAGAATTACGTCAACGATTTGAGAATTGGCAGATGTGCAAGTTGTGTGGGCAAGAAACAGGCTTGCAGCCAGGCCATGAGTTGTTGTTGCTTTTTGGTGAATCGTGGCTTCGATCAATGATTTCGCCACGCAGGCGACGTTTGGAGCATGGGTTGTGTCATGTTCGAGATGTTCACCAACAAGCTCCCCTTCGAGGTGCGTGGGAATGCCGAGTCCTCAGATGGAGCCGCAAGACTCTGCTAGTCGCTTTTCCTCCTAACCGCGCAACTCTTGTTTGACACAGCCTCAATGCAATCGCAACTCCCGATGAAGAGCCACCCCTTGTGACAGAAGTGCATTTTAGCAGGGAGCAGAAAGCAACCGAGGTGAGGCCCACATATGTGAGGGTTGTTTCCATTCGACAGGTGGATGGCGCCGCCAAGCAGCAGGCCGGATGTTGAGTCCGCCGCATGCCTTCAGCTGAAAGGCACGTGAATCACTGAATCACGGGATTTCCGAACTGGGACGCCCCGCCCCTTTTCTTTTTGGTCAACCAGGGGCTTCGAGCAATGCAAGATAGTTTGTTGTACCAGGGCGCGACCCCTTCTCCAGGAGCACTTGGTGCGTTTACCCTGGTCCAAACCCTTGGAAGGGTTTTGCCGCAAACCCAACTTTCAGTTTCTCAATCAGCTTTGCTTCTTCAGCCTTCCACCTTTTTGAGAGCGCAGCTTCCCGCTTCCTCTTTTTGTCCGCGCTCGGGTTGGAACGGGTCGAGGCGAAGTGGGTGGAGCTGCACAGCAAAGGGCCCAACTGGGAACTCCTCAGATGCAGCCAGGACCTCAGAGCCTCGGATCGAGCCTCGGATCGAGCCCCGCATGGCACCGCAGAAACGCGGGAAAGCGCGGGGAAAACGCCGGGGAAGCGCCGAAGTTCTCTTCCTTTGGCTATGGGCAAAGAACCCGGCGTTGTTTCCTTTGTGTTCAAAGTCTTTTGGCAAGAAGGCACCGCCCAAAGCGGGTCACCTGAACCCATCCGATGGATGACAACTCGGAACCCCAGGCCGGAGAACTATTGGGAGAAACCAGCAATCCCAATTGCCGCCTGGCACCTTTTTTTGGTCGTGAGGCTTGTTCGGCAACCTCAATTGTGAGAACCTTGATTTTGGGCGCACCCACCCACCCACATTCCATGGGAGGTTGGGGGCTGGGAGGCAAACTCCCTGGATCAAACCTTGTGAAATCGGCTCTCCGAATCGGCTGAGGTCCGGACGCCAAGAATCTCTGCAAGCAGCTGCTCACCTTCCGGGAGAGCGCCGGGAGACCCGAAAAAAGGGAAAGACATGTGGGCGATTTTCTGGTTGGCTTCCCTCTACCCCATTATCATTTTATTTGATTGTTGATGATTGAAACTTTTAACAGCTTTTGCAATATCTTGAACTGGATTTGTAGAAAGGGTACCTGAAAGGGGAAAAGCTCTGGAGAAAACAGCATCGGGGCCTGGTGGTGAAAAATAGGCAAATGGAAGGGTAGACTACAACCCTCCGTACCCCAATCTGTATCATTTTGAGCCACACCCTGGTTGGTTTCCCTCGAGTCCAGGAAGGGTACCTGAAAGGGCAAAAGCTCGTGACGGTCGACCACGTTCCCTTTAGAAGACATCGGGGTCACAAGTTCAATCAGAACTTGGGGCATGGCTCGCCCCTTTGACTTTTCCTCCCCCTCAAAGGGCTCGGCACCCATCCTGCGAGTGCAGAATTGACCCCAGGAAAACCACAAGTAAGACGAGGAGCCTGGCATCTCGCTTAGAACGGGTGTTTTTCCCGTGCCCTACGAGCCCAGCCCACTTTTTAAACAGGTCAATTACCCCAGGTTGCGTTTTCATGTGGGCTCCCTGAACCCTCACAATTCGCTTAAACATGAGTGATCACCAAATTTATGGGGTGAAATCCCTTGTTTTTGGGTTGTTTCAGGGCCCCCCCGGTCCACGCAGTCGAGGGGATTCGACTTCGAAGGCGCGACCGGGCGCCTCCGAGTGCCTGTCGCATCCTTGGCTGAAGCTGCAGCTGGCGGAAGCCGCTGGGCTGCGATTAGCGACGTGGTGGTGGCACAAAAAGGTCCTTGGTTTCTGGACACCAAGACAAAGACCTGAAGAGATGATGTCTGGTGCACTCCGGAGGGCCTCCAGGGCCTCCAGCAATCAGTTAGCAGGTGGAGGTCCCGATTTTGGCCCAGTTGCTGGGAAATCTCCAGATGTGTATTTTCTTGGTGGCTCCCAGCCATCCGGTTCCTGAGCCTTTAGTGTCAAGTGGCAGTTTCCATTTCACCCATTTTAAAGTTAAACTTTTAGCGGATCTGAGGACAGCCCAGTTACCAAGACAAACACCTGCGTGCCCCCTGCTTCATTTTGAGGCACAGCCACGTTTGGATTGAAACGGCGGCTTTTCTTCCAAAGGCTCCAAGGAAATGCTTCCCCTTGGCGTCAAAGCTTTCTTTCTGGGCCTAAGAAACGGGTAAGCCTCCCTTCTATCATTCTTGAAGGACGCTTATCTCACTTCCTGTTTTGTTCTTGCTTTGGGACTGGAAGCTGTTTTGGGTTTTTGTACCCAAAGGCCCCCTACCCTTGGTTTTTCCTCAGAGGGGTTGTCGGCTGGCATTTAGGCGGGTCTCAAAAGTAGGGGAGATCTGTTTTCCATGAAAAGCAAACCAGGCAAACCAGGCACCAAGGGGTGCCCCATCTTTGGTTGAACACCCATGTTCATGAATCAATGTTTCCTTCCCCTTGAGCCATGACTTTGCAAGAGTTGCGTGATGAATCCAGCGATTCGCATTGAGCTCGAAAAGGCAACCAAGGGAGTGTTGGAGGCGCCATGGGAAACCCCGGTTTTGGCAGCAATTCACTCGCCCCAAACACTCCCCCAAACGCCAACCATCTAAGTTTGAGTAGGTTTGGCACTCTTCCTTTTGATGCCAGCTCAGTTCAATTCCTCTGTTTCTTGGACCCCCCGCTTTTCTGCCCGCCTTTAAATCGGGTTGTCAACCACGTCGGATCCGTGGTGGCTCTTCGTGGCACTCACCTTCTTCGGAGACCCGAAGGGCAAGTGCAGCTAAGCACCAGCACGGCGCTCAGGACGTATCCCACAAGGACATGGAGAGACTTTGCCAAGCCGTGCTGACTTGGCGGGACCGCTCCCCCTGCCAACGCGCCTTCTGCCTCAAGGCGCCCGTCCAGCGTTGCTTCCTTTTTTGTCGCGTTGGGGGCTGGTCAACCCTGAACCCAAACCACCAATCCAAGTCACCAATTGGAGGGATGCTGATTGGTCCAAATGAAGAAACACCGTTCGGTGAGTTTGGGAAGTCGGGTTCTAACTCAATGCCACTGTTATATTTGTGTGTGGGCCTCTCGGGGCTGGCTGGTGCCAGTCCGGAATGGGATTCGTGGGCCCATGTCTTGGAAACTCCCTAAGGGGCAAGTGCAGCTTTGGGCTCGGCTCTTAGACGGCTTGGGGTTCTTAGAGGGCTTGGTTTCAGGGTTCAAGAAAAAGCTTCTTTCAAGTTTTAGGGGGCCCGCCGGGCCCACCTTTTGAGTCAAACACCCCCCCTTTGGTTGCCCTTTTCGTCCGCGAGCTTCTCCGGACAAATTTCTCGGTCGCAGGTGGCGGCCAACTGTACCTGCATCGACAAGTTCGCGAAGCTCTTCGTGAAGTTCGACACGGACAATTCCGGGGTCCTGGACACGCCGGAGATGATGCGCCTCGATTTCTTCCCAACCGCTCGGGGACACCTTCGATTTTTTTGTTGGACACAAACAAGCAGACGTGAAGCAATGGTTGAAATCGAACTGGACACTTTTTGCTTCCCCCTTTCTTGGGAGTAAGCTCCCTTCGCCTTGAGGAAAACAGGAAGCCAATTTGGGCGTGCCTTTGTTGATCCCAGTTACTCGCAAACAGGAAGCCCGTGGGAGTCAGCCTTCCAAAAGAGGACCCTGCTTTTTCAGGCATCAGTGTTTTTTAGTTTGTTTGTGCCGGTTTCGGTGATGTCTTGTTTAATGGTGGGAGAACTTGCTTAAAATGGTATAAAATGGTCACGTCTGCGTGTCTTCGGCGTCATTCGGCGTTTCCGCGTCTCTTCGCGTCTTCTTCTCGCGTCTTGGCTCTTTGCTTCGATCTTGGGAAACCATGGAAACCGTTCTGCGGGCTGCTTTTGTTGAGGTAAACTGGTTTGACAATCTTCTCCAAAAAGATGATAGCTCTGAAGATTGTGGGCCCCAGCAAGGGGCACCCGGGTTTGATCTGTTTCTTTATTTGGTGTCCCATTTTGATGCTACTCAAATAGTAATACATCCATCTCAATCCGCGTCAGGGCTGCCCTGATGTCGGTGGGCATCACCAAAGAGCTGGCCAAGAAGACGGCCAAAGCCTTGGACGTGCACCTTGGCGGCGGTTGTTGGCTGGATTTGCTCCTGAAAAAGATACGTTTTGCAACCATTTGAAACATGGCTTCTTCCACCAGAATAAAGGGAAACCACCATTGACAAGGCAATGTTCGGTGTATAATGTAAGGATCCCTGTTTTGGCTGGTCTCATCTGTTTGCACCGTTTGAACCTTTGTAACCCCCTTGGGCACGACCTGCTTGCTCCCAGTTGCCAGCAAGGAACGGCGACAACTCCTGCGAGTACTTGGAGTTCACTGCCGCCTGCTTGTTGTCCATGGAGGACGCGATCGTTCCAAGAGGGTTTCTGCAGTTCCATGTCTGAGGAATTCTGGGCATAGCGTAGGGGTTCTTACGAAGGCTACATGTACGAGCGCATAGGCAGTCTCCAATGAAGTTCATTTGTTCCCCGTTGGGAACTCGAGCCAATGCGAAACCGGCACCGGGTCGGACGCATCCTATGGAAATCGGACCTGCTGGCTGGCGAATGAACCAATCTGCGAAGGGGCCATTCCCGCGGTTCCATTTTTCCTGGCGGTTTTGAAGCATCGCCCCTGGCACAAATTTCAAGTGAGTCTCTGGTTGTTTTTTGAACCGCATTGGTGCCCCAGATGTTCTCTGAGGACACTCCCTTACGAGCGTGCCTGTGCGTGTCTTTTTCGAGGGGCCGACTGCGAAACCCTGTTTTAGAGAGGTGTTTTTACCCTCCAGTTTTGACACGACTGGACCTCAACCGCCCTTTTAACGAACGGTGTTCACCCCAGATCAATACACCACCCCCGAGGGTCCCTTTAGACAGGAATCCTTTAACTTCCAACATCATTTTAACAGGGGATTCTTTGGAGAGAATGGGAAAGTCACTGACAAAGCTCAGGTTGCATGTGTTGTTGAGATCTTAGCATTTGACATGCACAAAACAACTCATGCATGACAGGGAAATCGCCTGAATCCACAGCGCGCAAAGAGCCAAACATTCGCCGTAGAAGGCCTTCAGAAGGCAAGCAGTCGAGTGTAAGTTATTTGAACCCTCCCCCAGACTAACATGGAAGCTCCCGAGCAGACTGGTCTGAGAGACTGAGTGACATGGCCCCCGTAGGACGAGTTCGATGAGCTCCTCCGCCTGGAGTTTCGGATCCTCGACCCCAAGAGGCGCAGCGGCCCTTCGGCGCTCGGTTTCGTGGGCGGATCGAGATGTGCCAAGGGTCAGAGAGATTTACGAGCGAAAATAGGGCAACCCCAGAATGGCTGGCCCTGGCAAATTCAAACAAAGACGAAAACCTGCCGTCCATATACTGGAAATAAATTTTGACCCATACCGCATACCCATTGGCTTTCTTGGGGCTTGGTGCTGCATGACCTGCAAGTGTCCCGAAAACCAGGTCACACCAGCCATGGAGGTACTTTACTCGAGGAGTCCAACTTGTTTCTAGCGGAATTGCGTATGACAAACTATGGGATCCGTTTTTGATAACTCCACTAAAAAGGCACCCTCAAGCAGAACCAGATGCTTACACAAATCTTATAGACATAACTAGCTGTTCGCGCCTTCGTGGGGTGACACGTGCACGGTGACCACCCTTTCTGCATGATTCCCCCAGGCAAAGAACCCTTCTGTGAGTGCTCGAAATTCCCCATCGAAAGGTCCAGCTGGCATGCCCTGGCGACATTTGTGGTGCAGCTTCGGTGGATTCTCTATGGGATCTTCTTTGCCTGTGGAGGATTTGCTTCATTTACTTCCTTTGATCAGTCACCTTGCGAATCCTTTCTGAGTATGTCGAAAAGTCGTTTGAAGAATCAGACATTCCTACCCCCTGATGAAATGTATGGCAGGGAGGGGGGTTGTGGATGAATCCAGGCGGGACGGTGTCTGAATGTTTGAATATGTGTGAATGCTTCGGTCACACCTCATGTGATGCCAAAACGAAAGGCGATTGAGTGCTTGAAGCGTGGACTTGGAAGCGGCGAGACCCTTCCAAATTGCAGGGAAGGTCTTGCTTGACGCCTTTGGGGCCAAACTGGCATGTTTTTAGCCCTGGAGGTAGTGGTTTGGGGTCAGTGGAAACAACCACTTTTACAAAGAAAGTAGAAGTCCACCTTGGCTATTTCCGCTGGTGGAACTCAACGCATCGCAGGGTGGGCAGCTTGACCCCGAGTCAGATGGAGCCGCTGATGACCGAGCTAAAATTGCTGGCGCGGGCGCCCGGCGAGGGGTTTGGCGTGAAAAATGCGCCCCAAGAGAGGAAGTCTCAGGTGAGCTACAATCAAAACCCGGGTGGATGAAGGTTAGCAAGGACAGTCCCAGCCATAAATGGGTGCAGCCGCCCTGGTCATTCTTTACATGATTCTGGGTAGGCCATTTTACGACCGGGTTTTGATTATGACTCCGGTTCTCCCAGGTGGCTTTCGTTTGGGTTGGAGCCCTTTTGGCTGACGCGCCTGGCTCGACCAAGTTTAATCCTTCAACTGTGGGGGCGCAAGGCCAACCTGAAGGCTAAGATTTGGGCTGAAACCAGGGAAACCCCGGCAACTTTGAGCCAACCCCTCTTGAGATTGGTGGGCCCTATCCGGGAACGAGTCTGACATATGCCCCAGGTCTTGGATTATATGTTTTGACTGAAGGAACTCCTGAACACCGATGAGGAAGTTGTGTTCAGTCAGAAGCACAGTTCCACGTTGGAGCTATGGTGGGGGGAGTAAGGTGAGGTGTTGACATTGATCTGGTTGCAGTATAGCTGACAGAGGTTTCAAACCTGATTGCCCCCGACTGTGGGAGTTCAGTCAGTCCACGTCGCGCATCTCATAGGCCGTCCGCCTTTAAAGCGTCGCAACATGATGCACTAGTAGTTCAGCAAACTCGTGTTCGCCTGTGAAACCTAGGCCGCCCCTGTGTCAGACATGTCCCATGCTTGGCACAGACCGTTGTGCAGATCATGGTCCGAGATGCCTTGGATTCATGTTCACCCAGGGTTCCTGGAAGCTTTTTGGCAATATCTTCTTTCTTTCTTTTTTTTTGGGGGTGGGTGGGTGGGGGGGGGGCACTCCCTCACCTAATGTTTATGAATCTCAGTGGATGTCCCTGGTTTTAGTGGGGAATCATACATCACTGTTGGAGGGGTGTCCAGGCCGGTGCTAATATACCGGGGTCTATTCTTCTGGGGCCAAATTTAGATTGGAATCCCCATATGTTGACACATACCCCACAGGGCATGATGTTTTTCGGGTTGATTCATCCGGGGCCAACGTCCAAAGACTCCCAAAAGCATCGCTGGAGGCAGCTTCAAGGGGCTTTGAGATCGAGGACATCGATGCTGACGGCGATGGTCACATCGACTTTCAGGAGACGAATGCGCGAGCTTGAGCCAGACATGGGGCGTTTTAGATCGTTTTCAACCCGGATGGAGAGAAGCCCAAAACCCCAAAACCCAAAAACCCAAAAACCCAAAAACCCCTAAAATTTGAATATCAGTTTGACTTGGGTCTTTAAAGAGGAAATACCCGAGGAGTTGGAACGTTTCTCTAGATGAGGATTGGTGGTTTGGATTGGTTTGGGATTTGAACCCCTGGACCTTGTAGAGGGTAATGGGAAGCCCTTGCTTAACCAAAAAACCAATCCTTAAACCACCAATGAGAAAGCTGAAGCCAAGGTTTTTAGCACCACTCGAACCACTGCGAGTGGTTTCCTTGTAAAGGTTCGGCAAGTTTCGTCCGATGGCCGAGAGGTTGACTTCCGAATCCCACTCAGGGGCTTGGATTCGTGCGCGATGCAAAACGCCACCCTCACAAACTCACATAGAAGACAACAAACCGATGGGCCCACCACTTTCCAAAAGGATATGTCTCGGATACGCTTGGCCGTTTTGCCAACGGCCAGGCCTGTACCCCAAGAGTGGCATGCGCTTCCCATTTTGCCGCGGACATATTTTTCCTGCAACCCACATAAGATGCAAAGGAGCCCTCCCTCCTGCGCGCAGCATTGCGTCAAATTGGGAGGGCCCAAGAAGTGGCTTGTTTGCCTCGGTTGTTCAAAGCGAATCGACCTGGAATGACCTTTTGGTTGCATATGTTTGCAACCACGTGTGTGGCCTCCAAAGGTTAGCCTTTTAGTTCCAGGTCCTTTGGGCAACTGAGTTGTTTTTCCCTTCAAACAATCTTGGCGATGCTTGCACCGGCACATCACCGGCACATCACCGGCATCACGTTTAGTGGGCGGTTCTTCCTGGTTTTGCGCAGGTAAGGGCTACATAAACCTACCCCTTTGCAACCTGAACACGTTGGTGCCCAAAGTTGGGACGATGGAAAAGCCCTTTTACGAAGGTCTTAACAAGAAGCCAAACAGGAAACCCCCCACCTGCCAGTACCCCAAAGAACGGCTTTTGCCCATGTCCTTTTTGGCAGTGGCTCAGATTGAGGAGGAGCTAGGGCTATGTTCCATTTCCCAAGGTGCCATTTTGGGCTCCATGTTTTTGAGCCACAACCATTTTCATGTTTCTTTTTGGGGGTGACCCCCAAAAATCTTCTGAGCCCCACAACAATGTGTGTTTCTTTCTTCTTCTTTTTTTTTGGGGGGACCTCCAACATGTTAGTTTTCCTTTTGTGTTTTCTGGTTTTTTAGCCACCAAAGGGGCTGCCCCGGAAAAACTTGCGGTGCTTCCCCCGGCGCGAGCGAGCGCCTCCGCCGAAGGAGTTCTGCACCTACTTCGGGCGGCCCAACGTGTCGTACTCCCGGTGCCTGCCGCCGGACCCGTCCAAGCCGGGGGCGAAGCAGATGATGCCCCGCCCTCGGATCTCGGATGGGTCGGTCCAACTTCTCGTTTTTTTGTTTTGTTCCCCCTTTGGAGGGGTACAGGGCACCCCTTTGGTTTAAAAGGAAAGCCAAGAGGAACACCAACATTTTGGAGGTCCCCCCCAAAAACAAGCATGGAAAGACTAGAACCTGCGGTTTGCCATAGCTCTTCATCTTTGAGCCACACCCAAATCACCTCCCTTTTGTCAAAACTCGAAGGTTCCCATTCCTTAGAGCGTTAGCAGGTTTAGAGGGATGCATGACATATCCCAGCAAACAGTGGTCAGTTTCAACAACGGACCTACGAACCACAAAGGAAAGCAGGGTTCCATTATTTGTTGGTTACCCAAATAATGGCCTAAACCCAGGTTTCCTTTTTCAATATTACTCATATGTTCAAAATTTCTGTCAGCAGCACTATCATTATTATTTTATTTGGTTGCGGGTCAAAACGAAAGGAGCTTGGCTTACGCCGGTTTTAGTCTTCGTTTCCACTTTTTCAAGGGCCATGGGTACCATGTGTTGAGCCATTTTGAGCCCAGCATACGTTGCGCGGTGAGCAGCGATGGAGGGGTTTCCCATGGCCAACCTTGCGGCCCGGGTTGAGGGAAACAAAGCGACAGGGGAAACCCTGAAATCCAAGAGCTGGCGGACTCTTCCCGCCGGAATGCCTGTGGCTTCACGGAAAGGACACCAGGAGGCAATGGTTGAAAGTGCAGCTAGCGAGTAGAGATTTGAACCAGCCAAGTCAAGTAGGGGATTTTTTTTTCTTTTTCGAGAAACCATGCCAAGACATGATTTCCGCCAGGGTCCTCGTCCAAATGGTCCCCCCCCCTTTCGGGCCCAAAAGCATTCAAGATTGCAGTTTCCGAGTAGGGAATTTTGATAGCAGAAATCAAGGTAAGTTTTCGGATTTGTGTTGGTGTTACTCGAAACGTTAGGTTTAGTATTGGTTTGGAATCGGCATAGTATTGGCCCTGGAGCATTCGTGAGTAGAGAGAAGTGATTACTAGCTCACCATGTAGGTCCGTTGCTTGAGGATCCAATTCTTATTCAGGATGTGGCATTCGCACATGTGCATCCCTAAGGTGGCCAGTCGTGTCGGTAGGTTTTCCAAAAAGCGAGGCCCATGAAGCAGCACGTGCGCATCGTGGGCGGCCACGGGAAGAGTGCCGGAACCTGAGAGAAGAGCGCTCGACTCGTCGTTTTTTTTCTCCAGATTCTCTGCAGGGTTTCTGCCTATCTTCAGGTACCTCTTAGTTGGTGGTTTGGTGGGGATTTGAGTCCCTGGTTCTTGTGGTTTGGGTAAGTGGGAAACCCCTCGGGAAGCTGATATCTTATGGCGAGCTCAGCAATCCCTGCACAGCAAGTCTTTTCAACAGCATCCAGCAGTTTCCAACCAGGCCACAGAAGGGGTCAGCGTGGGATCCTGCGAATCCTGCAATTCTTCTTGGAGGGAATCTGGGAAAGAACCCGATTTGCCATGGGCTTTGGGGAGGGATGCTGAAGAAATCTGAAGACCCGACTGCCACCCAAATCACGCAGCTATATCAATATTGAGCGACCGGCGCTTCAACGTTTTGGATTTGCCTATATCATCGGCACATGGTTTCAGGTTTGTGGCTCATTTTATTTACTCTCGGCTATTTCGCACCCCTGAAGAGTTTTGCTCATGGACGGCTTGGAAGTGTCCCGGTATCTCCGAACCACAGGGATTCGCATTTTCCTTCGCAAAAGATGTGCCCATCAGATGTCCGACGAGCAAACAAAGAAACAATGGGCTTAATCAATGTTGTTGCCATGCTTTTAGTTTTTTCGGTCCTGTTCATTGCCAGTGCCGGGGGGGAGGGCGGCGGCTGCAAAGAGCAAAGTGTTGTGCAACCATTCGGGTTGTAAAGCTAAGTTGGCATCCAGTCAGAGTTGTGAACTGAAGAAAGGCCGGAAACCAAAAAAAATCCTCCAGCCTTATGCCGGGGTCTTTGCGGCAGCAGCTCGCCGCGCCGTATTACCCCACCTATGTTCAAGGAGTGCACGGTTGAAAATGGATGGGGGTTGGAATGCGTGTCCATGATTCCTTACTAACAGCAAGAAGGGTTTTCTCTGTTTGTTGCTTTCCTGGGGGTATTTTGGGGATTTAGGTGCAAGGCATGGCCAACTGTCGACCCAACAATCGGGCTTTGGAGCAGTTCTGTGTCTTTGGGGCATCCAGGAGCTTGCTTTGACAGTTGTTCTGAGGTCTCCTCAGCTTTTTGCATTTCAGGGTAGGCCTTTGTATGACACAGAAAATGCACTGCAGAATCTTAAAACATGAGATGGCCAAGTGGGGTATGGGTCAAAATCAAACCGCCTGGATATCGACTGCAGATTTTACTTTTTCCTCCTTGTTTCAATTGTGCCGGGGCAACCCATTTGGGGTTCCGTTGTTGGACCCCCAAGTTTTCACAATCACCACCGCTGGTCATGCTGCATCGGCTGCATCTGCATCAGGTAAATGATCCTCATGGGATTTGCCATGAGCATCGTTACCTGTGCTCCGTGCGCGCTCAAGCAGACCAAACAAAGGAACCCCAAATGGGTTTTTTGGACGCCCAAATAACAATCCAATTGGGTTCCTTTCTTGGTCTTTTGTTTGGGGCTCCTTTGTTTCCAGCAGGGGTTTGATACATGCTCAATCCAATTTGGGGCAACCAAAATTTGGGGTTCCGTTGTTGGACCCCCAAGTTTTCCAGCAGGCCAACCAAAACTCCCCGCCCGACCCGCAAGGTGGAGATGAGCATGGACCAAATTCGAAAGAGCCGCTGCCTCAGACAAGTCTCAGCGCCAGCCCACAGCACCTGACGGGGGCCAGACCATGCTCAAATCCGAAGAATGGCTTCGTACAGTCCCATGCAAATTGTTTATTTTTCATAGAGACGCAAATTCCCAAATTGTCCTCTTTTTTTTTAACGGAGACGTAATTTCCCATGGAAATTGCCCAAGGCCTTTTTGTTGACTGGAGACGTAAGATTGGTGTGGGACTTCCTGGTTTGCCAGGCAGAAAAAGCCACCCTGCCTGTCTCCTAGGCATGGGAATGGGAGTGCCGAAGATCCCACCAGTGGTGCCGGAAAGTCCAAAGGCGATGGAGCGAGACTGCGAGTTTTCTCCCCAGCTACAAAGGGCTCAATGCTTAGTGAATCGACCTGAAATGACCTTTTGGTTTTCCCTTTTTGGCTTAACCATTTTTTGGTAGAGGCGCCAAAAGGTCAGGCTTTTACTTCCAGGTCCTTTGGGTTGGGGCCACCCCAAAGCTTTCACGGCCGCAGGTCGGCTCATCCAAAAATTGTTCCAGCGTTGTCCGGCGACGGTGCCAGAATATCTCACGTCTATTAGAATCGAACGTTGTTCTCACCTCATGAAAATCGACTTCTTTGCCGCCCCCCCCCCCCCCAAAAAAAAAGACAAACGGAGAGACAAACTAAACAATTGCTTAAGCTCCTGTACCAAGGGGAGTTTGGAGATCAATTGCAAGTAGCCGGGTGCTGATTTTAACTGCCTCACTTCCTGAGTTCATGAACTTGAAAAACTGTTTGGGTTTGGACCACTTGAGTGGCAAATATAAAGGTTTTGGCCTTTTTTTAGGCCATCCACTCAGCAAGTGAGCTGCCCTTTGGAACTCCAGGAGAAGCCAAAGGAGAAGAAGCCCACCGCGAAGCCAAAGGCATCCGGTTCCAAGCCGGAGGCGCGAGCTTCGGATTCTTCCGCCGTTTTGTTCTTCTTCTTTTTTTCTTGTTTCTTTGTTTTCTTCTTTTTTGTGAGGTGTGTGCCCGTGTTTTTTGTGTTTTTTTGTTTTTGTAAGGAAAAAGTGGCAGTAACAGTTTGATTAAAGGGAAGCACCAACTGCGAGTAGCTCTTGTTTCTCAGGGCTGTCACTTTCGGACTTGAGCTTGATTTGGGTTTATGTCATCAACTTGTGTGGATTTCATTTTGAGCAAGCCGCGCTGGGAATGAGCGAATGGTTCACGTCGCCCTTGAGGCCCAGTCCAGCCCGCCGGCGACTCCCACGAGCCGCGGCCTCGAAACCCGCGCGGGCGGTGAGGGAGAGGTCACCCGAGAGAGTAGAGATCGAAGTGTCGGGTGGCAGTTTGGGGATCGAGCGTTGCTTAATAACTTGAGGCCCTTTCCATTTCTTGTTTTTTTCAATGTTTTATTTTCTTTTTCATTTTGAGAGGTTCTCATTGAGTGGTTTAGACGTTCCTACTTGAGACCACAATTTAGCCGGCACCTGTGAGGATGTCACTCTTGTGGGCAGACCTCCAAGCTTTGGAGTGCGGGGATTTGGGGACTCCCAGCCAAAACGACGTTGCTAGCTCACCTGACAGTGGAATCAGGTCATTTGGGGGTCAGGCCACTCGTGAAGGTCCAATAAGTTTCTGAAAAATCAGGGGTGCATGTGACCTAAAGGAAGCCAATGTCCCTATGCTGGTGCTCAGCAAGGAATGTGGGAATGAACCCTGTCTTCGGTCCCCGAACAAAGGAAACCACCATTTTGATGGTTTAAATCGGGGTCCTTCCATTTCTCATTCCCTGCACCTCTCGCACCGATCGGAAGTAAAGCAGCCGCCCTCATTTCCAAGAGGGGCTTGCCGTCCTTCTACAGGGCGTCTCTTAGGCCACTTTTGGAGGGGACACCCCGGTATAGGTTCTAGGTCCCCCAGCTAGGTGCCCTTTTACCCTTTTTTGGGGGAGGGTTCCCCACTAATATAGACTACAGAGGAGGAAAAAAAGAAGAAAACGTACCCTTACTCTATCCTCTCCACTGGAGGACCTAGGATTGGTTTGGACGAGTTGGCTTTGCGCACTTACATGGAATCGTCGGCGGGAGTTTTGACGCGAGGTGCTCGCGCTGGCGCCGGCGGCGCGAGCTCCAGCACAGCCAGGCAGGAGGTGGCCAGGTCGTCGGGTTTTCATTCTCGGCGTTGAGGGAAGAAACGTGGTTGTGCCAAGACTGGGGTGCCCTCTAGGGAAGGTGTGTAAAAAGCTGACCCAAATGTGACCCTTTCGATTTGAGAAACAACAACTCCAAAGAAGTAAGCTTTCGGACTTTTCAGAGCCTTTTTCCGGGAAGTAAATGGGAATTCCCTGGTGCGGTGGTTTCACAACAAGTAGATCATGAGATCATGCGGAGTTGGGTCCTATCATCGATATCTACCCCAAGCCTTTCTTACTGTTTCACAGTTGTCCCATCTATCTGGCTGTGGGGTAGAAATTTTAGTCCTCCCCTACAAATGGTGGGTTTCTCTGGTGTTATTATTTTACCATTGGTGCCATTTTCAGACTGCTTCTCTTTACCGGGGCAACCCATTTCTGCTTACATTTGGCCAGCCAAACAGGGACAGCTCCTAGTTTCACCGAAAAAAGGCTAGGTCCCCCAGTAGTGCCCTTTCTCACCCTTTTTCTGGTTGGGAGCGTTCCCCTACTAAAATAGACAACCGAAAAAGACGGTACCCCTATTGCAACCTCTCTTCTAGAGGACCTAAAACTATATGCAACTGGAGGAACGTGACAATTTTTTGGGTGGTTCCCAG